TAACTCGGCTGTCTTCGTGTGGTCCGCCCTCTCCCCCTGTAGTTCAGCAAAGCACCCTGCACCCAATCATCCAAAGCTCCCCTGTGAAGTACCAGAGGCTTATTACCATGGAGCCTCATGACCATGAGATATGCGGAGACACAGCGTGTCACTGCACATAAAATGGTTTGTGCATTTTATTAACAGACAAAGCTCCACCACGATTCCCCGATCGCTGACTCCAATCCTTTAATATCCAAATGTACCCCCTAAGTTAGTTCAGGTCTCATTAACTGTCAGGATGCCGTTGGGGGCCTTTTGGTCCAGCCAAGATTGGCCCAGGATCCGGCGCGAGGCTGAGCCGCTAGGAGACGGCGGCGCAGGGGCAGAGGGCCCGGCCACCTCGCTCAGGTGCGTCAGGTCGGTGGACTCGCGCTCCAGCACGCTGCCGCTGCGGGTGCCCTGCGCCACGACGCACACGCGGCCCGAGGCTCTGCTAGGGCTGCGGCGTAGCAGGCCCGCGCAGATCTTGCGGAAGCCTTTGCGGAAGTGCTTGGAAACCAGCGCGTAGACGATGGGGTTGACGCATGAATTAGCGTAGGAGACCAGGTGTGAGAGGATGCGCAGCGCGTAGGTGGCGCGCGTAAGTGGGAAGCGGCCAAACCACACGCAGAGGATAAGCGCGTGGTGAGGCATCCAACAGAGGCAGAAGAGTGCCGCCACGATGATGATCATGCGCGTCACCTTGCGCTTGGCGTGCCGGGCGCCTGAGCCGGCGGCCACCGGGTCGACTGCGCGCCAGAGGTAGCGCAGAGTGCGCGCGTAGGTCAGGCCGAGCACCAGCACCGGTAGCAGGTAGCTGAAGACAAAGGTGCAGAGGTCCATGGCGCGGCGGCGAGCTGCACTCCACGCAGGGTGGCACACGGTCAGGTTGGCCAACCGCGACTGGCGGTAGTAACTCAGGTAAGGCCCGGAGAAGAGCACCGACAGCCCCCAGATGAGCCCGATGGCCGCCAGCGCGTTGCGAGGCGTGCGCAGCTCGCGGGAGTGCAGCGGATAGCGGATAGCCAAATACCTGCGGGTCATGCCAGGAAGGGGAGACGTTGGCTGAGCGGGCGGATTCGCGGGAGCAGGGCCGAACCCCTGCACTTCGAGCTCCACACCCGCTCTCGAGGAAGTCCCTAGCGCACGGTCACACTGCACACGCCCGGAGGGCGACCCAGTGCATCCCTGGCACAGCCACGTCTAGATGTGGGGCGGGACCCAGCAAATGGAAAGGC